CGTGGCACACGCCGTGGTTGCCGTGACATTTTGCCGGACACCCACCTGTGCAGAAAAACAGAAGAACCCTGGGGAGCGAAAGGATGATGGCCGGACAGGTCCAGCGCGGTCGGGCGACGCATCTTCAAATATTTCCAAAGCCCCACTCGCTAGACCACAGTATATAAGGATCGGGATGCGACGAAGACGGCATCCAGTTGTCGCCTAGTGCTCACCAAGCAGTCCAACTCAGCTCCGCCGCAGCCGCACCTCCACACACAACATGGCATTCAAGGTACCGTCAAGTCACTCCAAGGGAAACCCCCGCAGTGGACTGCATTGAATTGCAGTTATTACTCGCCAGTGGGAGGCGGAGGGTTGGAGGCGGATAAGGAAAATGATCCAGTGTGCCCCACTTCCGACCCGGACTTGTTATTTCTCGTTGGTTCTGGTATCGCTCCGCTATCAATAACTCCTCCCTCCGTCGTTCGCCTGCTGCCCCTGAGAAGCCTCTGACTCTGTTCGCCTGCTCCCTCAGGTCGCCGTCCTCCTCAGCGCCTGCCTGGCCGTGGCCCGCGGAGGCTACCTGCACGGCCTGCACCACGGCCCCGCCCTGGCGTACGCGCCCTCCTACAGCAGCTACAGCGCCCCCATCCTCAGGAGCGCTCCCATCATCAGCGCCCCCATCATCCGGTCTACTCCTTACATCAGCGCTCCGATCATCCGGTCTTCCCCCTACATCAGCGCTCCCATCATCCGGTCTTCCCCCTACATCAGCGCTCCCATCATCCGGTCTTCCCCTTACATCAGCGCTCCCATCCTCAGGAGCGCTCCCCTCTACAGTGAGCCGATCATCAGCGCTCCCATCATTCGGTCTTCCCCCTACATCAGCGCTCCCATCATCAGGAGCGCCCCCATCCTCAGCTCCCACCTCGTCCACAGCGCCCCTCTCGTCCACAGCGCTCCTCTCGTCCACAGCGCCCCCATCCTGAGATCATCCCCCATCCTGCACGCCGAACCCATCTGGTGAGCACCAATACGCCGCCCCCTGAAACCAACGGTTTTATCGCCTAGCTGCCATCATGTAAATTAATTACTCGCAACACATCAATAAAACGTCTAGTCCTCTGATAACGCTGTTGTAAGTGCAGAACTAATGCCCCATTCCCTTGCTAAGTGAGGCCGCTGGAAACAGCAGTGCTTTAGTGCCTAGTGTGTCTTGTGAATGGCCCGGGTTTTACGACTGAGATACGGTACACGCGTTAATAGCTTAACAGCACCGTTTCTTTCCAAGTTGTCTTTGTTACGGTTGCAGTCTGATGTGTCGCATTGACTACTATTCATTCAGAAAATGTTCTAGAGCGAACAGTGATCAAATTGCAGCAGGGAGAGTCAAGCCCAATGAAAAATGCAATACTGATAAATGGTCGATAGTCATCGATCGAGGCAAACTCAACTCGACATCAATTCCATTTTTTCAGCAAATCGGCGAATTTTCGAATGTGGCGTCGATTTGAAGATTTTTTTCTTACAGGGAAGGAAGGGACTCAAGAACAGGAAAAATGGTTTCAGTTTTCGTCAATTATTTATTAGCTTTGGAAATGCCGTCATCACAGGTATCTTTTTGACTAGTTCACTCTTTACCAGAGACCGCTGCTGTAGCCGAGGCCGGAGTGGCCGAGACCAGAGTAGCCAAGGCTAGAGTAGCCCAGACCGTGGTGGCCGAGGCCAGAGTAGCCCAGACCGGAGTAGCCCAGGCCGGAGTAGCCCAGGGAGGAGTGGCCAAGACTAGAGTAGCCGAGGCCGGAGTAGCCAAGACCGGAGTAGCCGAGGCCGGAGTAGCCGAGGCCGGAGTAGCCGAGGGTAGAGTGGCCCAGACCGGAGTAGCCGAGGGCGGAGTGGCCGAGGCTAGAGTAGCCAAGGGTGGAGTGGCCGAGACCGTAGCCGTAGCCGTGGCCGTATCCGTGGCCGTAGGCCAGAGGGGCGGCGTAGGTCTTGGTGACGATGGGGGTCGTGGTCACGGTGGTCTTGGTCACGATGGGGGCTGAGATCAGGGGCGCGGCGTGAAGGGGCGCAGCGTGCAGGGGAGCGGCCAGGCTGTGGCCGAGGCCGAGACCGCCGTAGCCGTAGGAAGAGGCGTAGCCGCCGATGAGGCCTCCGGCCTGGGCGCAGGCCACCAGGGCAGCAAGGACCACGAGCTGAACAAATGATCAACAGTTAGCGGTTGTGGACTTAGCTGCGTAAAGCCCATATCCAGTCGCAATCACAAGTAACTTCAGTTTGTTCAAGAAAGCGTTCAAAATTTTAAACAGATGATACACAAAATAGTGATATACTAGAACACGCATCAGGTCCATCAAGAGCACTTAAACTGAGTAGTGGTGTTCGTTGCACACCCTACTAGATCACTGTCAGAAGCACGGGTGAGTATCCACAAAGGCGTTGGCGACAGCCCCACCACAACACAACTATTTGCTTTCGCGGTCGCACCTTGAATGCCATCTTTGACTGCGGGTGCTGCTGCTGTAGCCTCAGACTGGGACTGCTGAACCGACTGACTGCCTGACTTGACTTCTGTCTCGGCCCGCAGCATTATATATACGCGGACGAGCCAAGCCTAGAGCGACCCTGCCCGGCCCGCCCCGCCCCTGGTCCAGGCGTGTCCTTCCCCTCCACCTGCATCTTCGCGGATTCGGTGGCCATTGCCCCTCTCCTACTCATTAGCTTGGCCAGGCGTGTTGGCTGCGCGCGCCCAGCACACACAAGTCAGTCGGAACGCTCGCGGGCCAGACCGGCGGGCAGCAAGGTAAGATTATATTTTTCTTTTCTGAAAAAAAAAGTGTAACCTCTCGGTACGTTTACGTTTGCTCTTCCTAACGAGTGTGCACCAAGGGGTAGTTAACACAAACAAATCAGTGAGCACCCTTCAAAAAAATAAGAAAAATAAAGCGAAAATCTAGCACAAAATCGGG